GGATCGGTACGATGACGTCCATACTTATCTTCGAGAGGCTACAGGGCATTTAGGATATATACTTCCCATCTTTCTTTCCTTATAGTGCGAGATTGATTCAGCTTGAGACGTAACTCTTTGAATTCCTTCCACGTATTCGTATGCGCACATAAGCTCTCGGTATCAGTTGTGCATCGCCAGCTTGTGATTTTATGAACAAGGTTTATGATGTGTATTCTGTGTTTTGGTGATGGTCCAGTCTGGAGGACTTGAGGCCAGCTTTAGACCGCAACTTAGGCTCGGTAGCTTCAGTTGTAACCTGTACATTTAGACTCATATGTCCGATAATATCCCTATGAGTGGAAGTTGTAGCTCGATGAGTGGTGGAATGGCTTTGTGATGAGTATGATGTAAATGCGGTATGTATTAAGACAATTTGAATATGACGAAAAGTGTTTCCTTGAAATGTAAAGGAAAGACCATTGGGTGCTTCATTTTCCAATTGATGTGGCGTACAGTCTCCAGTATGAATGTTTTAAAGGATCTTTCACATTGTTAAATTTTGGGGTAAAAATAAATTCTCACGTCTGGTTAATTATTTTGGACTCAGATAGACTAAGTGATTGCATAGTAATTGTGAATGCGAAAGGGTATAACAGATTGAGGCTAAGCAGGTGGATTATCCCCTGCGGAGTAATCTACGTGGGAGTATTCCTTATGATGTGAGTAGAGAGTTTCTTTTCTGCCGACGGGGTGTATGGGTGGAGGTTTGTATCTAAATTTGGTTGAGAAATTTGACTTGTGTGTTAAGAGGATGAATACGAGCTTAGCGGATGATTGAGGTATTTTTATGGTTGGCGTTGTATGAACTTGGAAAGAAGTTTCGTTGGACTGACTGTATCATTATGGCAGTAAGAGAGTATTGGTATTGTGAGTTATGGAATGTTTTAATCTATGGCTTTGAGCTAAGTGGGGGAGTCTGCTATTGACAATTTGATTTCATAGTTAGGTGCTTAATTTTAATTTTGGTCTGAGGCATACTTGTGGGTTAGCTATGACTTGCAAAAGTTGAGATCGAGGATGAATCAAATAAGGAAATTCCTGGTTAAGGATTATATTGCACGTATGAGTAAATGAAATTCGCGGGATGAGTGAGTTGTTATTGGTGAATGATGTAGTGCGCACGGAGTATGAATTTGATATGTGGTGTTAAAGTAGAGTTACTTCTTTGAGTGTTGTGGTGCTAATGGGGCACGTGTCTTTTGGCCCATTTGGGCGGTGCAATTAGATTTGAGCAAAGTGGGTGACTCCCGAGAAAATTCCAGTGGGTTTGAGAATTATATATAGCAATTGAGAATGTTTTCGGACTTGTGTATGGATAAAATCTAAGATTTGCGTTTGATGGTGCCTGGACTTGCGAAATTTCTATATGACTATGGATTCTACATTTTTGTATAAGGAAGGTATTTCAAATTCACATAAGGTATTATCAGAGTGAGTGTTATAGTTGTGGTATTTTTGAAGGTGCTTAAGAAGAATACAGTTGCTTATGGGTCGTAGGGCATTGTGGTTCTATGCTAAGGATTGTAGGGTGAGTTGTGGTTAAAGATCGTGGTATTTTAGCAAGAATAAGTATCAATCTAAAGACAGATTCAGAAGGGACTTGGAGAAAATAGGACCACTGGGTAGTAGGTTGGATTAGTATGGTAATGGATATGATCGGTTCTTTGGGTGCTTATGATGTGGGGATTTTCTACAGGTGCTTTGTGGCAATACACCTGGACTTGGCGACCTTCGTAGCATGGTCGAGTTAGAGGAATTTAGTTTTAAGGGCTTGATTATGTGCAAAATGGATTCCAAAGTATTCTTGATGGTTTCTACCGGCGTGGAGAACGTGTTGTGAATTGTGATTTCCTCCTGGAAAGAAGCAAGAGAAAGGTTTCTAACTAAAATGGTATGTAAATTATTGGTAACTCAAAGTTGATAATAAGATTCTTGTGCTTTTAACATGATGGCAAGATAGATGTTATGTGTTGTACGAAAGCTAGATTTTCATCTACAAGGTGGCAGTACAGTCTTGAAGAGAAGGTAACGAATGTTGGACAACATGGACGATTTCAAATAACTAGATGAATACTATTACTACTTGGTGTTGTATGAGAAAGGGGCAGACTTCAGAAGGCGCATTGTATTTTGACTTACGTATGTATAAATTAGTATTGCGGTACTCACATGGTTGATAGACTGTTGATATTCAAATTTTGTCAAGTGGCACAGAAGAACTTTTAAAAGTATTTCTCGTGGGATGATCGTGTATGAGAGAGGTGTTAGGCATTGGAGTGGTGGAGATAGAATCAAATATAGTGATTCGCGTGTTCTATGGATTTAGAGATTGGGAGTTCTCAGGAGCAGATTGTTTCATGGTTGTGGACTGTGAAGTTGTGTCCGGAGCTAGCCAGATGATAAAATGTGTTATGATTCAGTCATTATGGATTTTCGGAGGGATTGTTTTTCTATTTGTGGGTAACCCGAGTTGATTTGGGGGTCCATAGGTAGGCCCAATTAAGATGTGTATTCTACATCGAACCGGAATGGTTGGCTCCATACTACTATTATTGAGGGATGTGTCATTCGGTTGATGTTGAATTTATTCATGTTCTCAAATGATCTGTGAGTTACTCCTTTATGCTACGAGGAGTTATGATTCATTAGTTATGTGCACAAATGATGCGGTTTAATTTGAGCTTTTTAGGAAAATTTGAGTGTGATGAGTACTTGGGTATTGCATGATCGATAGCGTAATGGTTATATCCTTTCAGGTTTTGTGCGGTATTTTTGTCATTTGCCTCTCCGTTGTTATTAATTTGGAGCAGGGTGGCTCGGAGTATATAACATAAACCTCGTATTAGAATTGGGTGATGGTTCTACGGTGTATGATGAATTTTCAGCATTTCGTTGTGGAGGTACTTGTTAATCTAGTTGGGCAGTTATCTCATTTGAGTCATTTTTCGTGACTGGGTACATTTGAATTGTTGCGTATTGGTACACGGATGACACGAGTTGTGGCTCTGAGTTATATTGGTAAGGCATGTCTGTAAAATAGTTGTGTTTAGTAATATAAGGTCATTGGACCTTGAATGGGTACTATCAGGTTTGATTTTGATATATTCGAAAATATAATATTGAAAGTCGGCTCAGAAAGGGATTATGGTTCTGGTTGGGGCGAGAGGGCTCCGTCACTTGTTGATCTGATAAGTGGTCATGAAATTTCGTGTGTTTCTTCTGGTGTAATCGCGCCTGCAGAAAAGTAGTCGCAGGTGCGAGCTCGCAAGTGCGAGCAGGGGTGCGCTGAAGTGAGATGCGCAGGTGCGGAAGGTGCTTCGTAGGTGCGGAATTGCACCTGCACGAGAAGGAGCGCATATGCGGGCAGAGGGCTGTGAGGCATTGGTCGCAGGTGCGAGGGAAAATTCCGCACCTGCGTGAGCGCAGATGCGGAGGGATGTCACAGAAGCGAAAATTGGGCAAGCGAGTGGAGTCTGCAAATGCGACGTTTTGCTCGCACAAGCAGAAGCGCGGGTTTGCAAATCTTGTCCGCAGATGCGAAAATCGCTGGGGCAGAACCTTAAATTCGGGGGTTCGACATTTTCACCCATTTTTCGGATTTTGGAGCTCGGATTGGTCGATTTCAGAGAGAAAATTTTTCACACAACTTGGGATAAGTGTTCTTAACTTCCCTCTGATTATATTCCATGAATTAATCTTCATTTTTAGTGTAAGATTATTGAATCTTCAAGAGAAATAGAAGGAAATTTCTATAATGTCACAAAATAAATTTTTCAAGTTTGAATACCGATTTGGAGTCGGATTTGAGTGAAATTAGTATGATTGAACTTCTAATTGGAAGGATTGTCGTATTTTGTGAGTTTCTTTAGATTTCGAGATGTGGGTCCCACGGGTGATTTTTGGGGCGTAATTTCAGATTTTGTGGAAAACATTAGTATTTTGATATGGAATTAATTCCTATATATTGTGTGGACTGAATCAAATTAATTATGGTAGATTCGAGTCGTTCGGGAGTTGATACGCACATAATGGGATTTCTGGAGCATTGTTTAGCTTGCTTGACTTTGGATTCGGCTTGTTCGAAGTAAGTAACTCTTTTAATCTTGGAGTTGAGGGTATGAACCCTGAATATATGTATTTTGTGAATTGTTGGGAGGTGACGCACATGCTAGGTTACGGGCGTGTGAGCGTGCACTATAGAAATTGTGACATAATTGTTTCTGTGAAATTTTATTGTTAAATAATCTTGACATTTTTCATGCGGTTTTATATGTGTTAAAGAAATTAAACTGAAAAGCATATTAAAAATCATGTTGAGACTACGTGCCAGTATTATTGGGACCCACATAGGTCATATTGCTGTGAATTATTGTGTTAAATTGAAAATTCATACTCAGTCGTATTCATTTCATTGCATATCATATCTCAGTCTCTGTTGTTATTTATTGGTACATCATATCATCATTTTTGGGCTATTTTTCTCCAAACTTGATAACAAAAAACTCATGATACTGCACGAAAATGGGAGTGTCCTTTTTTTCTTCGTTCTTGGAGCCAAATTATGGTAATGAAAAGTTTTGCAGAAAATAGAAGTAGCTACACAACAGAACAAAAATGAATGGACCAGCATACGAGTCCATCGTTGTTTTCTTCCCATCCAAAAATCAAACCAACATATACCATTAAGAGAATGTGTCATATCCATCATGAGAGTTTCAATGCTTTTGAAGGTTTTCTATGATGGCTAAAAAAACGATGTGCAAGTTTATGTTGTAGCATTGCAGATTTTGATTCAAGTCTGTCCTGCGGCTGATACACCAGAAACAGGATCTGAAGTGCTTATCTGAACTAGGCAGATGAGATGATAAAGAAATGGCAACGAAACACAGAAGCAAATGCTCTGAATAAATTTCTTTTTCAGAATATAAAACTTCTTTTCTCATAAAAGGATGAAAAAATATGAAAAATACCGTTGATATGCTTAGGCAGAACGCCCACGATATTCATTATGTTTCTAAATACCACAAAATAATCTGGGGATACACCCTTTTAAACAAATGTACTAGGCCAAATGAGTATATCATAACTCACAGGCTGTAGCCAAAATACTACTATGAAGACGGCAAAACCTCAAGCATTTCTTTACTGCCAGATTTCGGTAGCAAGAGCTAGTATATTCTCTCCACAAAATAGAGCTTTCATCTCTCTGAAGAGCTGCTTCTTGGGAAATCTCAGTGACATTGCAGCATTCATGGTCATTTTTTCACTAGGGATAACATGTGCTGTGCCTAGTTTCTCTGCAGCAGCTAGTAATACAACTCATTGCTGATCAGCCAATTATATAAATAAAATGAACCTTTACCTGATGAAATAAGTATACAAGGCACCAACAACAACAACATACCCAGTATTATCCCACACCGTGCGGTTTGGGGAGGTTAGTGTATATGCAAACCTTACCCCTACCTTGTGAGGATAGGGAGGTTGTTTCCAATAGACCATCCGCTCAGGAAATATACAAGGCACCACTAACTCTTAAAAACACCAAAAGTATAAAGATAAATGAAAACTCCACAACCTACATGACACGAACATTCATTGTAATGGATTTTGAGTCGCTATTTGTGCGATCAATTTGGAAGATGCAAACATCTCCTACTTTTAGCTTGTTGCTTGAAAAGAAGTCACGCCAGCCTGTTGTCATAATGACATATAAAGTCTTCCCACCAGGGCAAATTCTTAGACTCACAGGACATGATATACCCGATGGACCTGTTAATGTTATGGTTGTATTCTGAAGGAGTGCATTTGAATGACAAAATTCCGTGGGTATATGCTGTCATAAGAGCATATTAGGAAAAGATAATATAGGATATATTTAGAAAAAAATTCATTGTTTGTCCTGTTATAGGTTCAGATAAAGGAAAAGAAGAGTTGAAAGCTCACCAAATAAGGAGAACGTTTTCTGACGTTATATTCTTTTATTCTTGCCGTAAACTCAGAACTTCCTTTCACGTATTGGTGGATCAGTACATCTCCCTCGGGTTTCCTTTTCTCTACAGAAGTGAGAAAGAGAGCATTAAACCCAAAACGGAATGTACATAAGAAGAAAATCCACTCCTCTAGATTACCTTCCTTTCCATTCAACTAAATTACTCATCATAGATGTGGCTTTAGCAATGTTATTAAAGATCAAACCTTTCTTATTCCAAATCCAATTCTTGATTGCCATAATAGTACTACAACAATCATACCAAGCTAAAGTATACTTCACAACAGTAATCGTGCTAAACAAGACGAATCAGGAAATTAGTGTAGGTTGTCTCAACAGCATATGTCATCCCCTACAACTACTACAAGCATGTTGTCTTGTTCATAACAGACATGTCCCTCAATTAGACGACATATCTGTTCATATAACACATGTTTTAACTAAAATTTTGACAACTAGTTCCAGTTACTTTAACTACTACTACTACTACTACTACTACTACTATAGTTGTCTATACCTAAATACAGATTTTGAACATCAGCTTCAGCTGTAGAAAATCCAAGCAAAAGAATCAAGAAGGCGACTAAGGTGTCTGGTTGGTGTCAAATTTATTACCACAATTGATTAATATTAATATGAGGAATACACTTTCTGTGTTTTACAGATCAATATAGGAAAATTAACAATCTAGGAAACTTACCTATTCTGCACTCTGGAGATTTCACTTGGGAAGGTACTTGTTGTTTACCATCTTCCAACATCAAAAACTTTTTGTCACAACCAGTAGAATCAAGAAGGCTAACACTGAAATTCATATTACCCAAGTGCTCAAACACAGCAAAGTCTCCAATTTTTAGGTTATAATTTTGCACAAATTGTTCCCAACCCTTATCAAACCACATAACGCCATTCTTCGATCGACCAATTCCTACATTCCATGTACCCTTTCCATGTTTTAAAGTCCCTTTTTCTGATTTTTCCCCTTTTAGCTTCAGACAAAAAGCTGGTGGAATTGTCTGGTGAATTGAAAAAAAAAAAAAAAAAAATAAATAAAATTCCTTAAGAATGTTATAAT